AAACAAACAATCAAGTCCCTCTTTTAAATATTTCTATAGATGACTATATAAGAATTAAAAACCGTTTCAATACTTTTCATGATGTTTTCAAGTAATATTATTCATATTCTTTAACATAATCCCCGTGGTTTACACGCCAGTTTCAATGTTTCTCCTGGGCAAGCTTCTCCGTCGGGCCTGTGAAGAAAATTAACTTTTCTATTTATATGTCTGCATTGTGGTTGTGGGACCATCCTTGTTTCAGATATTTATTATATAAGGTCTTGCTAGTTTGGTACTTAGTTTGGGATATCAATATTTGATATTGTGTAACTTATATTTGTCTATAATAATATTATAAAGAGAATATTGTAAACATTTTATTGTTTGTTTGTTTGCATTGCATAAGAAAGTCGTGATAGAAAGGCCTAGTAAAAATTTTGTAATAGTAAATTCATTATATAAAAATAGAAACTACCTTATTTGTTGTTGACGTAGCATTTTTTCTAAAATTCCCGGTTCCCTAAGTTTTCATTACAATTTTTTTGTTGGGTATCGTGCCCTGTGCTGCATTATAGTTATTGTTAAAACATATTGTCGAATTTATTTGTTTCCGAATTCATGTCATTTAGTGAATAAATTCTATTGATTAAATTTTTTGTATAAAAATACAAAATAAAATTGATTAAATTAGAATTCGGGTTCGAAACAAAAAATAACATCTTAATTAAAAAACAAACCATACTTCTTTTCTTTTCACAAGATAGTCAAGGAATATCGTTAAACCATTGAAAAAAGTGCTAAGTTTATTGAATACCTAATTAATTTTTTTTTATCAAAAAGAGTGTCGTGGGCAAGTTAATCGTGTATTTTGTCATAAATTATTCATTATTCATAGCAGACACCGAAGAGGAATTACCATCTTCCATTGCCAATACCATAGTGGCCTCACTCCATAATGAATTATATTGAAAATAAATTCAGGGAAAAACGACCTACTCGTTTAAACGGGTACCCATTTTGCCCTGCCCGTTTTTCCCAAGAGTAACTTGCTTAGTAAAATAATAATAATAACCCCGAAATTTAAATTGATACAACAAAAGAAATTGTGGAATTCTACAGTCAGATAGAGGTTAGTAAAAATGTTAATAACAACAATCCTATAATTATAAACATTTTCGACTAATTTAAAGAGTTGCCTTGCTTACCTTGCTTTTTTCTAACAAAACTACCAAAAAACTTTCGATACGCACACCTACGCTATGAGGCGACTTTAGCGCCCTAGCGGAATTGATTGAAGATATTCGGTTGGTGACAACTCTCGGCACACATACACATCAACACTCAAGTTTGACGTAGAAGCGTATTACTACATACCCGATTTAGGCGGACCACCCGTTTTAGGCTAGTTTCCCCTAGCTACATTTACAATTTTACTGAGCAGTTTATTGAATACCTAGCATTTTAATTGTGATAGTAGATTTTTAATTTAATTTTAAATTATTTAAGTATGTATAAACAAACTAATGAGTAATACTAATAAATACCAAGTAATATAAATAGCAATATAGTTAACTTCATATGAGTTAATTTAGAATTAATATTTAACTTGTTATTAAAACCAAGTATAAAATGTACATAATTATATGTAAAACCATCCATTATTAGAGATGTCAATTAATGTAGTGTATAAGCACTGCGGCCCGCGATCGTTGTCGTTAAGCAGCTTTCGCAAGGGTCGGTCACGCGATGGGTGACCAAAAAAAATATTATCTCGAACTGTTAAAAAAATATTATCCGTGCTTTGGAAGGCACGTTAAGCCGTTGGTCCCGGCTGTATTTGCAGTCGTTAATACCCTCCAATCCGCATTGGGCCAGCGTGGAGGGTCATGGCTCATCCACTTTAACCATCCGTTAGGAAGGCCTGAGCCCCTGCAGTGGGGACGTAAAAGGGCCGATGCTGATGATGCTTTAAATAATAGTTGAAGGTCGAATTTTCATTTCTCAATACCGTTGCATGGAATAATCAGAACATGGAAGTTGCATTGTGTTACAACAGTTAGTTACACAAACGTAGTAATTAGTTTAATGCCACATTACTCATTCAAATTTTGAGAACATTAAGTATATGAACATTAACCTTAATGGCTATTATGCAATTGATCATTTGATAAGTAGGTATATATGGATTCGATTCCCAGTCAAGAATTTTTCGTGCTAGGGTTTTAGCTTTGAATATATTCACGGTATGTATCGTTTTTTATTTAGTGTTCTTAAAAGTAATGGAACGCAACCATTAAAAAAAGAACATTTTTTCCATTATAATTTTAACGGCTGATCACGTGTCAGAAATGACAATTGTCCTACACATTCAGCTGGAAGGGACAGGTGAATATGAACGTGCCTCCGGTGGTCGATATATTAAATTTTTGGTTATCCATCATGTGACTGGACTTGCGAAAGTTGCTTAATGAACTCTACATCGATTCGAACCACTGCGTTATTAATCTCCATGTCTAGATTAATGTTTAAAAAACGAAAAGGTTCATAGAAATGAGAAAAATATCCCACTTGTCGAAATTCATTTAACGAAAAATATACAACAAGTCTCTACAAATCATATGCTGATAATAATGCGAAGATTCATATGACTTAACTATAGAATTAAACAAAACGTATGAAATATGCTTTAGGAATTCAAAGAAACTTTAACAACATTATATCCTTTGTTTAAATTCATAATGGTGGAGTTATGATAATGCTCTTTTGTGTATAATTGTTAAGAAATACACTTACATAGTGAACCAAGACTAGTTACAGTGAAACTTATCTCCTTAAGGAAAATAATGTTCACTTTGTTTTGGCTAGAATAAACACCGACAGGCTACATTTAATAAAAAAATACCACGAGACGGGTTAAGGCCTAAACAATTTTCGGCTATTATTTCGCAAACTGCATTGTAATGTTAAAGTTCAGTTAGTGATTTAGTTAGTTTAAGTGCAACCACCGTCCGGGGTAGACGTGTCAGTTATAAACAAATGTTTACTTACTTAAGTTGATTATTAATATCAAAATTAAATTCGGTGCGTGAGTGAGTTTTGTGTTATTGAAGTCTTTAGGGTATGTAATTTTCATTCATTATTGTTACTGGTTTCAAGTATAGATAACATAAAAGATAAGCTTAATTTAATTCTTGAATTTGAGATATTTTTAAAATAAGGTATCACATTATTTTTATTAAAAATGATAAATACTAATAAAAGTGTGAAATAGTGATAATAAAAAAACATGAATTTATCCTTAAATAAAGTGTTAAAGCATAATAAATATTTTAAAATAAATACCATATCATTTTGAAATAAATATATTTTAAAAATAAAAATCTAGGAACAGTTATTACGGAAATAAAAAGTATATGAAATTTTAACTAACGTATGACAAGATGTGATAGATTTGCATATCGACGAACGGACATATGTGATAGTGAAGCTATAAAGCTACTGTTTTCCCTTTTCTGATGCGGAACTTTAAAACGTGTGGCATTATTAAGTTATATATGCAAAGATGTCATAATCTTACGGAAAACTCAAAATATTCTGTACTTCTTAAAATACGTTTGGCATTTTTTTTATACTAGCTGTTTCCCGCGACTTCGCTTCGCTTCGACTATTAATTATGATATGTTTTTTGGACATGGTACAATTGTTTCAGAGCCTAGTAAATGCAAACAAACAAACCATCAAGTCCCTCTTTTAAATATTTCTATAGATGACTATATAAGAATTAAAAACCGTTTCAATACTTTTCATGATGTTTTCAAGTAATATTATTCATATTCTTTAACATAATCCCCGTGGTTTACACGCCAGTTTCAATGTTTCTCCTGGGCAAGCTTCTCCGTCGGGCCTGTGAAGAAAATTAACTTTTCTATTTATATGTCTACACTACAGGCATTGTGGTTGTGGGACCATCCTTGTTTCAGATATTTATTATATAAGGTCTTGCTAGTTTGGTACTTAGTTTGGGATATCAATATGTGATATTGTGTAAGTTATATATGTCTATAATAATATTATAAAGAGAATATTGTAAACATTTTATTGTTTGTTTGTTTGCATTGCATAAGAAAGTCGTGATAGAAAGGCCTAGTAACAATTTTGTAATAGTAAATTCATTATATAAAAATGGAAACTACCTAATTTGTTGTTGACGTAGCATTTTTTTCTAAAATTCCCGGTTCCCTAAGTTTTCATTACAATTTTTTTGATGGGTATCGTGCCCTGTGCTGCATTATAGTTATTGTTAAAACATATTTTTGATGTTAACGCGAGTTTCATTTCTTCACAGTTGTACTCACGTGACGTCTACACCTCAGAATGTCATCATTCGATAATACACAATCGCTGGCATCAAATCTGCCATCGACCTCGGCAGCTACGAATAGCGCCGCATCCAGCGACGGCTCCAACGAACCGGAGCAGTCACTGACCATGTCACCATGTCGTGAGATCAGTGCACTGCCCTCCAACAGAGACACGCCAGATTCCATGAACACAACAAACTGTGATTATGGAATGGCAAAAAATAACAACAGTAACTAGGACATGCCTCCAAAAGAAGATACCACTAACGGCTCCTCTAGCATATCCTCTACAGTGTCCATGAATGCGTTGCCTCGTATGCAATGCCGTTTTTTTGTTATAATTGTAGCCCCACACTCAAATCAAACGCCCAGTTGCGAGAACACGATATTTAACCAATATATCAACTACCGCCTATTGGTGTCAGGCCTCATTCCATCAACATGATTTGAGAATCGCATGGTGATTTAATGAGTTATTATTGTAAAGAATGCACCATTTTTATTTGCATAGAATGTACATTATCATTTCATAAGGAGCATAAGTATACGTCGATAAAAAGTGCTTTTGATATATGTCGCGTAGATCTTATTAAGGCAATAGAATGTACGAGATCTGGCAAGAAAAGAATGAACATTGCAATCGACCGTGCAAATACCATGTCAAAAACTTACAACAATGAATGTTTCGAAGTGAAGGAGAAAATAGAGACTACTATGCAGCTGTTTACTCAAGCCGTAGAAAATCGTGAAACATATATTTTTGAGAAGGTTGAGAACATGCGTCAGTCGAAGATAAACGAACTGAATCAATATATGAATACACTGCGTGGTATGCTCGCTGGTTTATCTTATATAAGTGAATTGATAATACATAGCAAAGATTCCGACGGAATAAATTTGTTTATGATTAAAGAAAAGGACAAATATGAGGTTAATTTATTTTCAACTATGTTCAAGAATATGCAGGTGAAGGAAGAGAGAATTTGTTTATGTTACCGAACTATAACTTAGTAGACCAATTAGGGCAGTATGATGTACAACGGATTAACCCGACTTCCGGTCAAATGCATAACTCTTCTTCCCACCAAACTTTAATGCCAATGCAGTCCTTGCCGGCAGGTCAGTCGTTACACGCTTCAAATTATCTTGTTACAAGTACTAGTTGTATGACGGAGTCAGATTATTCATTAAGTGCAAAATCGCGTAACTACGACCACACTTCATCCTTAATTATGGAATCAACTATTTGTACTTCACTCAGCATTGGACAAGCCATTCTAGGTTACTGGAAGTCAGTATATGTAAAGCCTAATTAGTAGCTTACGCCTTGAATAGCTTATGTTTTCATTTCTTCGTGAGTGACCAAACGAAGCTGAATTTGCTAAACCGTGGGGTTTATGTATAGATATCGAAGACAATGTAATAGTTGCCGACGTTCCGAAAGAACGGTGAATTTAAAAGCATGTTTGGTTCTAAAAGCGCTGGCCCTGTTGAATTTGACCTCCCAGCTGGCATTACAACTGACATATTTGACAGAATTATTTTTGCAGATAAGGATAACCATAGAATCCAAATATTTACAATGGCAGGAAAGTTCATCCTCGAACTTGGGTCATTTGGTAATAGATGTGGACAGTTTTATTACCCATGGGATGTAGCTACAAATACCTTAGGAAACATTGTTGTAACTGACATGCTTAATCACCAAATTCAACTATTTACAACCAACGGTACTTACATCACGAAATATGTATTTGAAAGTCCTAACTCAACCACAATGTTGAAAGGTCTAACAATTCCGAGAGGTGTGACCTTCAAAGCTTTTGGCAACATAGTAACCATTTTTGAGAATAATCGCATAATAATGTTAGATTCAACTCTATCAAAAGTTCTACATTGTGCAGAGTCTGAATGTTTCAGTACTGGTGAGCTAAATCGTCCATCGGGCGTTGCGATCGATGATGAACATTTTTTATTAAAGCATCTTTTTTAAATGCGACTGCAGTGGACGTATGACATTGACAAAACAGTGCGATGCATGCTGTGGCAATGGACGAGCATCTTTAGCAGAACATTTAGTTAAATTGATAATATCAAATTGTATTAACATTTTCACGATAACTTTAATATTTGCAATCAAACTATAGCTAAGAGAAAAAAACAGACAATCAGTAGGTATTATCATAATTAGCAATGTGTTTTTAGATATCTGCTCGTTCTTGCATCTGCTATTGCTGTTAATCTCAAATAAGCGAATAAGTTCTATATAATTTAAAATAAATGAATCAAAAATGAATCAAACTAAAGCTAAAGTAAATTTAATATTTTATTTTATATGAATTAAAAAAACATAACAAAGAATCGATAAGTTTATGCATAAGAAGTTAAATAACCTTTAGCAGTAGTATAACAATAGTTTTTTTTGGTTGTTCATCTAATGCTGTTACAGCACTGAGTTCAATACTGTATTTTCACAAAATACTAAATCTACACTATTTTATCATACATATTTGATTAATTTTTATTTCACAATGCTATATTGATATTACCTAAAAGGTCATTAACCGACTTCAAAACAGAAGGTTATTAATTTGACATTTATGTAATTTTGTTGGTAATATTCATATATTACGTTAGTTCAGTATTTCCTAAACTAATGGAAGAAATATTGACTGGGCTTTAATGGGTGATTCTACACCATTTAAGACATTATCTTATGCTCCCTTTAACAAGCGAGAGGTTTCGAGATTGAAAAATTTTGTAATTTAGGATAGGAAGAGCACAATCAACTTTGTAAATCACAGTGTTAGTTTATATGGGTCGCATTGAGAAAAAAATCCCACGGCTCCAACCAATCGGTCGGATTACCGATCGGAGGACTGGGAATAATCCGTTTCTCTTAACACGTGTGCTATCTTTTTCAACGACTGTCCAAAAAAGGAGAGCATTATGATTAGGGTTAATGTATATGTCAGTATGTACTCGTATGTGTGTGTGTGTGTGTAACTTTCGAAATACTTAACAGATATTCATATATTATTATTAGAAACGTGACATCATCCAGAGTGATACTGACTGTATATTTATAAAAATTATTTAAAATGCCAGAATTATGACGGCGTTTAAAAATAGGAAAATCAAGCAATATAGGTAGCAATTAAAAGTTGATGATGAGTATATTCCAAAAAACTATAGCTTGTATATATAATTAACTGCTGACTCAAAGGAATAAAATAAAAACATGTAATTTAAAATTTTCAGTGCACGACCTCTTAGATTACAAATGTACAACAGAACGGTCCACCCACTGCAATGAGAATTGTTTAGCCAGGTCATAGTGTGACTTGTTTTTTTAATTTTTAGTTTGATTTTGGATTTTTTGTTTGTTTACTTAGCTTTCAACTTCGGTAACACTAGGTATTACCAAAATTTGTTCTATAATTATATAGGTATAATCTTAATACTCAATAACAACCTAAAAATTTTATTAATAAAAAATATTGAACCCAATAACTGTCAATAAATTTTATTTTGGATTTAACGTTGTGGGAAGACACGTGATTGAATATGTCGAAGTACTAAATCTATACATCACTCTGTATCCAGTGCTTAGTTCAGCCCGTGGAATATCTAGCAACATCCTCGTTCTAGATCCTTTTGCTTGGACAAAATAATTTGCTGCTCTTTAAATCTGTCAAATGTTCACGACATGGCCTGTATTGTCATAGTAGTTAAAACTTACATATATATTATCGTATAAAACGTGACGTGTATGCTGTAGAATGACAACAGACACCAATATAACAAGATCGCTAGCCATGTCTAGTAGAAGTTTCAACAAACCGAAGTCAATCATAAAAGGATGCATTATTGTTATTATCATGAACTTCCATCTTTTATAGAATCCATGCAGTTAGATCTCGATCAGTGTCGGGCCCAACCCCCTCGGTGTCATAGGCTGTGAATATGATAGGGCTAGAACTAATACACAACAACAGAAGAAGACATACAAATGAGATAACTCGAGCACAAGCACATGGTTCCCAGTGTCTCTGAAATGTTTTCGCTGTTGTACAACAATGTTTTTTGCCAGGATTTTTGCTATAAACTGACAACAGTTTTTGTCAATTGTAAAAACACACGCTTCTCCTAATTCATTAACTGCCGTTCATCCGTTACAGCACAAGTTACAGGCTTAGTCCTGTTAACAATAACAAAGAAGATATGTGTTGTGAACTCCACGCAGATTCTGAGATTGTAAAGGTTGCATCGTCTTTATCTGCCAAATTTAATAATGATAGATATAGATACCAAAAATAATGAAAAATAGTGAGGAAAATATGCAAGTTCTGTTGTACAAAAGGTCACAAATATGAATAATGATTAAGAATTGAAACATAAAACTATGTAATTAGATATAAGAATACACAATAAAGTTTACTGTGATATTAGAATATAAGTGCAACCCAATGTATCTATACAGAGTTGAAAAAGAATAGACAAATTGTAAAAGATATATAAACACAGATATTATGATAATTGTAAAATAAATTTACTATAGTAAATAATGTACAAAATAAAATAGAATAAGACAAAAAATTGTTATAATAGAAAATAAGACATGAAAAGACAAGGGAAAAAGAACAATGACCCTGAAAAATATCCCGCAGCAAGACTTTGATAAGTTGATTCGAAGCATGAAAAATCGTTGCGGGACCGTTGTTAACGTCATGGGTGGTTTTACTATTGATTTTTGAAAAATTGCAAATAACGGAATAATTTCGCTATATTTTTCACTTTTTCTTGATAAACACATTTATCGTTATTTTTAGCACTATTCTATTTTTCATCTATACTTAAATAATTTATTTTAGGTACAAAAAAATATTTATGTTTTATTCTATAATCTACAAAAATAAATAGGCTTTATGAAAATATAAACATGTTGTATGTTATTCAGAAAAAAAAACTAAGAAAATTAAGAACAATTAAAAGATCCCTAGACGATGTTGATGTATATAGATATATATCAAATGTGGCCTATTGTAAGCAGTCAATTTACTGTAGTCCTAGATTACTGCCATATGACGCTTTTGTTAGACAATAATCTGGGACCATCTTCAAGATTTAAAAAAAAATTGCAAGTTATGCTACTGATGTCACTATGCGTCAATAAATGTCGTTATCTAGTATTCTGCGTCACACTCACACTAGGGTTGGGTTAAACTTAAAATAAAGGTGAGTAGAAACTGGAAACTCCCACCCGATCTGGCTGATCGTTCCTCGGGCCGGTGACATTTAGTTTTGGTTGCCATTGACACGAAAGAAGAAGAAGGTGGGCTTTAATAAACGTATATGTATCAATTAATATGCGGTACAGTAAGGTCTCGTTTATATAACAAATACTTGAAAAAAAATCTATAACATTAGTGTTGCCGAGTGTCCAATGAATCGAATTAAGACGGCGCTGTTAGCGCTTATCTATTTATATATCTAAATACTTTGTTACTTCTTAAAATTTTTATCATTTGTTTAAAGCTAAATTGTCAAATTATAAATCTGATTCTTTGAAATAGAAATAAAAATAATTCTATTGCTTCAAAGCAAAGCTTCAAAGCAAAATTTCAGTCTGTCCATATAGTTGTTCCAATTGTCCGTTTCTACATTAAACTCTTTGAATTTTACTGACTTTTTAGACACACTATTTGTATTTCCTTGCATTTTTACCGATTATTTTGCTTTCGTCGCCAATATTATAGAATTGAAACACACACTAATCAATAATCTTATATTGAGCTCAGTAGCTGATACAGAGTGGATTTATGTTGCCTTGTGATCCAACTACCCACTTACATTATTTTATCATCATACAAAGCAATGAAGTGAAGTAAATAACTATATCTATCTACTAACACATACATAACAGATATATTGTATGAACTATACTAGATGGCGTTAAATATATC